AATAAGTCTCCATAAAATGCCCCTTTTTCATGCTAATATATTTTTACAGTATCCGTGAACTGATAGCAGCAATTCTAACTGCTACTTACCTTGGCTCATCCATAGCTGTGACATTCACTTCCTCACATTTCTTCCGCCATAAACGATTATCTTCAGCTAAGTTACGCCAGTAACGACAAGTCAGTGATATGCGAGCAATATCAGCAGGAGATAAGAAGCACATAACATGTAATGCAATCTAAAACAATTTTTAGGATGACGACCATTGGGAGTTCAGCAGTATTCCTTCCGACGTTGAGTTAATCCCATATTCTTTGATGAAATCAATTAAACTTGTCATCAGAATGGTCAATCACTATAACTTACCATCCTCATTACCGAATAACATTTCTGTCTTCATTACCATAATCACTTAATATTAAAATATGGAACTTTCGAAAATCTAATTCTTTTCACTTACCTCCTTTGGTAATTCCTTTATGAAATCTTTTTGAAAGAAAGGTTCAATCACAGAACGTAAATGTCGAATATGGTCCAACGAACACTCGCCAATTAAATCGGTAAGGGCATCCATTTGGTCGGGTGAAGAAAGCATCTGCAATTTATTAATACGCGCAAAAAAAATTTTCAAAAAAAGTAGAAGATATCGAAAACAACTTTTCGCACCAACAAGATCATCAAACAATTACTTTTTCGAAGAAATCATGAAATCTAATCCTCATCTCCCACAATACAATGATCACCCTGCATTTTCTAAGAAATATACAATAATACGTATTGTTATAATTAATGATAAGAATTAGCAATAACACCAACATAAAAAAAAAAAATTTACCTTGAATTGTCTGATCCAAATAAACACATTTTCATTAATTTGATGTTCAGGTTCAAAAGACTTTTCAGTGCCCTCTTCTTTTTGTTCTTCCTGATTTTCTATCTCTTCTCCCTCATCATTATCTCCAACTCTTGGTGATTCGGGTGAATCCAAACGACAACCGTTTAAATTCGGATTATCACGATGATCATCATATGTCCCTTCAATGGCAAATCTTATGCCACTGGAAATACTAATGTACTCCTACAGAAGCGCAAACAAGGCTAGCAAAATCATGAATCTAAAATCAAATAAAGAAAAAATTGTCAAAGAAAATCAGAAACGAGCAATATAATCGATGAAAAACATACTACTACTTACCTATCTGCTCACATGCATTATATTTTCGCAGCAAATTTTCACATTGAGCTATTTCATTGACTCGAACAGATGTAATACATGAATGGGACGGTTCCGAACGGCTACTCCGTAAATAATCACAGTCATTCATTTGTATTATCCGACTGAAATGAATAATTAAAATTTCAGTTTATGCAAGATTTATTTAAATTATACAAGGCCATTATACTATACTGATTCATGTTTGCAAAGATAACGATGAGAATTATTCGTGTTACAATTTACACACCGCAAAAAATCCCTTATAAGTCTCAAAACTGCAAGAAAACATTTTGAATGGCCTTTTTTTGATTCGTCTTTACATTCACATCATAAATCTAATTCCAGTAGCAGTTATTAAAAAAAAGAAAAATGCACTGCCAACAGCTAAAATTTTTTTGAACTCAAAATGAAATCTTCGAATACTATTAATATTTTCATTTCATTTTGATAACGTTGTAATCACGATTTAAGAGGTATCAGTGAGAACAAGTATACAACTCAACACGTTACACGACATATTTACCAATCCGATTCTGCTATGAACCCAAAGATTTCCGAATGTGAATAGTATAGTGAGGAGCACCCTTACATACATAATTCAAGAAAAGATATGTCAACAACTGATTACAGTAAAAAATTGATGTTAAACAGTTTCTATTTTTAAACCGACTATTACTACATTCAACTCCAGTGTTTTCAGTTCTGAACCAATGTTGCATTAAAATAAAAAAAAAAAGAAAAAAACAATGTTTTGAAACTTTGAAACTGAAGCTTATTACTTAAAATTATATTTCTCGCTGAAAATTCTGGATGGAATCGAAAATCAAGAAAACAATTTCATAAAGTACAATACTTGGACAGAAGTGGAGTTTGAACATTAAACAAATAGCAGAGGTTGTTATAAAAATGTATGCTAAATATCTGTAAATAAAGTGCAAACTGGAACGGAATTGGATTACTGCATTATGATTGAAACATAATGAATAACACAAAAACAGTAGTTTATAATTAGCTATGTAAAATAAAAATAATTTACCCTACTCCGTATACGCTACACATCATATATTTTAGACTTTATGCAAATACTATATATTTCGCAAAAAGCACTTGGACCAATAACAATTTCATCTCTTTGATCTGTTATTCTGATAATTCCCTAATGCGATTTGCACATGCAACCTAATAAATACAATATAAATCTCATATAATCACAACACTTAATGACTGAAGAGTGAGGATGCTTAACAAATTTTAAGCTAAAGAACAAGTGATTTTTAATATATGGTTCTCAGTGTCACTGAGATAAGTTATGCGCAATACTTTTTCACCAAAGTCTTAGTTTTGATCAACCGCGATTAACCAACATTTTATATAGAGAAGCAGATCTTCCTTTCTCAGGGATATCATTTGAAAACGAGATATATTTATCTGCTAATAACTAAAGGATATGTTAGATCTGAATCGTAAAATAACTGCATTTGTAATGAATGAGATGAAAAGGAACAGGTTATAGAGCAAGCGTCAGAACATTTAGAAACCAATGTAGTGTTCAGCAATCACCAAAGGAAACAGTGATCGTTCAAAAGAAGTACATTCGTTAATGATACTGGACTACTGCCACAGAACTAATTATTTCTGCTATTTCTGTAGACTTATTTCCACACATTTAATCCATTTTCCGACATTACCTTGGAAAGTGTTTGATGGACTTTCTAAGAAATATGTTATGCAATAAAAATGACACTTTCTTACTACCAAAATTTCGTGAATATATATATATATATATATATATATATATATATATAT